GTTTTAGGATGGGTATGGAAAATGATTGAAAGAAAGCTATGTTACCGATCGCAGCAATTTGTATAATTGAGGTATTTAGTTATGAAGAATATAATTGGACAATTTGAACGAAATTAAAATTTTTTATTTTCTTCCAAAGAGCCAATTGTGGTTTGTAGAAAAACATAAAATAATTAAAGGCGTTGTCATTGCCAAATATATTATTTAATGCAATAGCAGCTTTCGGTAGTCGTTTTTGTGGCTTCCATCCAGCAGACAACTGATGATGATGATGGCTAAGCCATCGAACGCTGCTATTGCATTAAATAATATATTTGGCAATGACAACGTCTTTAATTATTTTATGAAAAATGCCAAAGATGTCACACCACAACACCTATATTGTAGAACAACAACTTGTAGAACAAATAGTTGACCATCATTAACCTTAATTAAATGTTAAAAAGTAAAGTGTCATAATAGCATAGTACTTTTGCTAACCTGAGAGATCCGGTCTCGAATTCTAGTACACCTGGGTTAATAAGAAGTAATATAGGGCAAATATTCCCATGAAGCATGGTGTTTGCCACGTATTCTTCCCTTCATGTCAGTGGAAATCAGAATATGTGCTCTGAGCCGTTACCTGCGCAGACAGCCCTGGAAGAGGGGAAACAAATTTCGAAGGTTAATGTGACGGTGCCTTTACTTCCCATAGCCCTATGCATGTTGGACATTCAATAGTTGAATACACAAAGGATTAAAAAAGTAACGTCACACCTAACACTGAATAAAATAGAGAATGCAACTGATGCGGTTCTATCAGAACTCCAAAAGATCGCAACAAAAAGTAATTTTAAAAACGAGCTATAATTTCAAAATAAAATAATGACCTACAAAATCAATACGGTACGGAGGAACTGAGAAGGAGCCAACATGAGCAATGAGGAACGATCACGGAGATATGAGCATTACGTTATGGGGAAACACTGTTCCGGGAGAATGAAGCGCGGAGCGGGGTGAGTGATGAGAAGGCACGGAAAATAAAGTGAAATTAAGTGAAGTGAAGTGAAATTAAATGAAGTGAAGTGAAGTGAAGTGAAGTGAAGTGAAGTGAAGTGAAATTAAGTGAAGTGAAGTGAAATTAAGTGCAGTGAAGTGAAGAAAATAAAATAAAAGGGATGGGAAGGGAAGGGAAATTATGGGCATGAAGGGAAGGGTAGGGAAGGGAAGGAATAAAAAGAACGGGACGGGACGGGACGGGACGGGATGGAAAGGGATGGAATGGGATGGAATGGGATGGAATGGGATGGAATGGGATGGAATGGGATGGGATGGGATGGGATGGGATGGGATGGGATGGGATGGGATGGGATGGGATGGAATGGGATGGAATGGAATGGAATGGAATGGAATGGAATGGAATGGAATGGAATGGGATTGGTGGGAGGGGAGGGGAAGGGAAAGGTAGGGCATGGAAGGGTAGGCGTGACATCTCGGGCCAGGAGGCGCGTGGCTCCACGCGCGAGGGAATAAGGGCCGCCATCGATCCTTCGCTCCGCCACAGGCATCCGGCCGTGTCACCAGCACCCAGGCCTGGGCCCCGCCCACGCGCGGACGACAGTTGCGCCTTCACGCGTCGATACTTGGATACTTCGGAAACCTATATCCCAAACCACCGCTACACAAAATATCGATATTCAAAGAAATATCAAGCTCTTAAAGCAGCAACCTAAAACCAAAATTACTCCATTGTGTCTGTTTGTTCATGTTTAAAGTCAAGAGGTTTTTCCCAGAAATGCATTATACTAACACATAACAATTTTTTTATAAATAACAAGTTGGCACAAAGGTGCTGAATATAATTCAAATAAAATTTCAAACTTATGACGAACACTTTGAACAAAAAGATGACTGAAAATGTATATGATCAAAGAACCACATAATTTTTTTATTAATGAGTGAAATGGTAATATGATGTTTAATCAAGAAAGTACAGCTATCTTACGTAGAACATACAGATTGATCAACTTATAAAGAATTGTGTAACGGATAAAATTGTCTGCGTGTATGCATCTTGGAAAATGTAATTTTACCCTGAACAAGATATGAAAGTGTAAGACAAATTAATTGAAAATCTGAAAGTCAAATTGAGAAAATCAAATTGCGAGGAAGGACTAAAATCACAGAAGTGAACTACACAACCAGAGCATATCAATAGATTAGGACACAATAAGATAGAATAAGTAGAAAGATAGATAGGTGGAAAGAAATTAAAAAATAAAGAAATTTAAATAGAGGAACGAATTTGAATTTACAGCAAATGCATGTCTCTAAGAAAGGTTAGTATCGATTTAAAATGTAAAAAAAAGGTTTTCTCACTAAAAATAAGTACTTTAAACGTTTATTTTCAGGTAGAAATCTATGTTTCACCTAAGTAGAACAAAAATATTCTTTACGAGGTACCTATAAAGTAACAGCATCTCTTCTACTTCTGTGCACTAAATATGAGCGAACAATAATTTCTAATCATGAACTGAACACAGATAATGAAGAGATACATAAAACACATTTTAGCAGTATACGCCAATGAAACCTTCAAACATTTTTAATAAAAAATTGCTTTCTCAGTTTTACCAAACTCTGTAACTTACCTAATGAAATTCCATTGCATTCGAGCACTGAAATTTGAACTGCATATCCGAGGGTACTTGAAACAACGAATGTTCACCGCTAGTGGGCATTCCATTCACATTTCTCTCCACAGCACGAGGAGGACTCGAAATGACATTAACACATCTGTAAATAGCAAAATTGCACTAAATATCTCTCAAAATAAAGCACATGTAGTGTTTTATTTCTCTTTTATCATACTGGTTTCTGGTTCAACATAGTATTTAAAAAAGAGTCTAGAGATAAATTATCGTAACGAGGGTAATAGTTACCCAAATTACCGTGTTCTTTAATTTTAATCGCGATCTACTTAGGCTAAAAAATTGGTGGTATGGATTAAGCATACAAATATTTTAAAACTATTTTCTGAGTACTTCTCTTCATCTAATAATTACAAGATAACGTAAATACAAAAATTTAAATGCATAGAATTCTATACAATACTTTTAAAAATTTGAAGTAAAGTAGAAAGTATTTTGGATGTAGTCTTCAGGATATACAGCATCAGTAACACAAAATGTGCATCTAATATTTTTGTTCCTTTCAATTCCCATTCAAACTCAAAAATGTCAAAAGTATAGTAATAAGAAGGGATTTAGCATGCAAAAAGTATTACTCCTAGGCACTGAAAGACATGTGTCCACATGACAAAAAAAACCTACTTTGATCAAAAGCATTTTTCCCATTATACACTGATGGTATTTTCATGGAGTTGGCAAAGCCAACAAACCGTGGGATTTGCAAGAACAGACCTCATCATTGCGCCCAAATAAATTTCTAGTAAATATATACCAAATTATAATTAGAAAATACGTCAACGGAAGTAGTCACGTGTATTGCCGTTAAGGAAACAAATATATGGGTGTCGTATATTCATCAAACTATAGAAAATAATTGGCAGTTTTTGACATGAGCTTTATACTCGTATTAACCAAAGGAAATTGCACCTACTCTTCTAAACTTTCTAATAATTATTGCAAACTTTTAATGATTATGTTTCAATAGGTTGCAACAGTCAGCAAATTAGATCGATTAGTAATTTATTACTTCAAAGAGTTTTCAGTATTGCTCATGTTTCTTTGAGAAAAGGGATACGATTAACTTCTTAAGGTTGAAATACGACTAACTCGTACTAGTAATTGCATTCATAAACACGTACAAACGTGTTGTGCATGATATAATCGAATAAATTGGATAGAAGGTACGTACGCTTAGGGTTAGTCACACAGTACTTTAGAGTTCGATTCAATAAACGTAATATAGTACATAAATTAAGAAAACATAGTAAATGTAAATGAGGACTTAATAATGTACTAATCAACCTGTAAAACTAGAATGTTCTTTTACCAGTAATTATTCCCGTAATAAAACGTAGGTAGCAGAGTTGACATGAATAGTAACTTTCTAGACAGATTACATTGAGAAATAAAAATACTACTAAATACTAATAGTAATACTAACGAAAAAGACGCTGGATTCCACGAAAATTTGAATCATTTTGGGTACACTAACATTAAGTATGAAGATTTATGTGACACAGCTTACAGCGAAGACAGTAGAGTCAAGATAACCCAATTGGTAGCTCGGATTACACAGAAAAACATTAACGGAATATTCAACTGCATTGTATAACGAAGTCAAATTTAATGTGATGACTAGTAACATTACAGGAATATACATGTACGTGAATCGGCCACAACAATGTAGTAAACACACTGACACTGGCACCGACCGCTGCACACGTGACCGTCATGACCACAGTGTTCGTTCAGTAGATTATCACCGCTTGATTGTGTGTCTTGGAGCACATGACACCTTTTTTCACCACGGATTGCAAGGAATCTCAGATTAGTGCGACTCTACTGCAATTATTATTTTGCGGGCAACCACTGGATGAATCGGCTACGTTCTACCGCGTATGTTGTACCCTCCACAACAATGGGAAATTTAAATACATTATAAAAAAACGACGCGTAACAATTAGAAACAATGTAGGTATAGTAACATTAAGTATGTAATCTATATAAGCTAGTTTAGAGATAGTAATAATTGAAAGCTTGAAATAACAAAGGATGTAAGTGCCATTTTCATACTTACGAGAAAAATGAGTTTATGTATCCGTTAAACGTACTGTCACATATAACTTCTGCCATTTATAATCACCCCGTAACACTATTAAGGAATGAGTCTGGACTTTGGTTCTTATTTATTTTATGTGGCTTGATTCATTCATCCTTATTTTGGTAAAAACGTAAATTCAACATAAATGGCACTTACGTCCTTTTTTATTTCAAGTCTTGAGTTATTATCACCGCGGCCAAGCGCTGCATGAACGTTCTACCGCGCACCTCTCAAATGCCGCCGCGTCTCCCACGCATCGCCCTCGGCACCACCACCACCTCCTCTTCCTCCTCCTCCTCCGCCACCTCGTCCACGTCGTAGTCTTCAGTGGCAGGGGCGGCGGCAGCGGCGGCGGCTGGCGGGCGGAGCGCGCCGGGCACCACGACGGCGGCGGCGGCCGCCCCCGCCTCCGCCGCCACCTCGCGCAACCGGTCGCGCCGGCCCCTGCACCGACACACGGCGCGCGCCGCCGCCACCAGCCCGCGCATCTTGGCCACCACCTCCTCCTGCATGAGGTTGAAGCACATGGCGATGAGCGCCATGCCCAGCATCAGGTACATGGAGCACAGAATGAAGCTGAGCTCGATGCCCTGGCTGGCGTAGATCTTGTCGCCCGGCACGATGTCGCCGAAGCCGATGGTGCTCAGGCTGATGAAGCAGAAGTAGGAGCCGTCCAGGAAGTCCCACGACTCGTAGCGGGAGAACAGCAGCGCCCCGCCGCACACGTAGCTGCCACGCACACACAAACGGCGCACATAAAGACGTTTTATAAAGCAACGTGTAGAGGGTAAGTCATTAAATACGGTAAAAAGGTACTAACATGTTTCTAATAACATTAGCAATAAATTATTTATGTACATTTTGATCTGAGAAATACAAATTCCCGTAAAAAGGTGGGAGTTTAGATTTTTACTGCTTTGCAGTAGCGAGAAAGTTATGTAATGCTGCTCGACAAAAACAGTGCATTTTTGGCGCAAAAACTCGTATTTCGGGGTTTTGGTAACGAGAAAGTTATCAATCAAGCAAATAAATTTAGACTACTGCGCTAAACATCTAAGTACGTGGTATAGCCAAAATCCATGTTTTGGGGGTCCTTCAAACCGAAAAATCGAATTACAGCAAAACTTTTCTCCGCCGTCTGTCTATGCGTCCGTCCGTGCGACTGGCCGTATGCCTGTCTGACCGTCCGTCTAAAATAGGTAGCAAAATAAGGGTATTCTTAAAATCTAAAATACTCTCATAAATTAAATTAGTACAATTTTCAAATTTCCGGACTATTTTAAAATATAAGAGTAGTAGAAGTTTGTGCGATACGCAATTTGTTTTGCAAAGCTATCCTTTATACCTTGATACATGTTACTATGATACCTTTATACTTGAGACATGTTACTAAAATGTAACAAAAATATTATTTGTCGATAGAAAAGAAAATGCTGATATTTCACTGAGTTGCCATCAATTCAGTAGGTAGTAAATTCCACAGAAATTCCAGGAATCGTAATTTCTGTAGTCACACATCCACGAGCAACAGGTAAGGTGACGAATGTTGTACGTCGAACTCATGTAAGACCTTAATACAAAAACAGAGCTAGCCAAATTATGAATTGTTAGAACTATTAAATTACGAGCATTGCAGGACAAATTAAATTTAAAAAATCATAAAACGTTTCATAGGGCTACCCAGGTTGGGGAATGATAAAATAAGTTGAGTAAAAGATAGTTCATGAATTGGAAATATTTAATTACGTTACAATTGGCATGCCTAACGCTGAACAGGTTCATTTTGGGTTACACTATTTTTAAAATTGGTCGCGTTTATTTAATTTCATGATTTGAGGCCAAAATGGCTTAATCATAAATAACTTGAACTTTTAAATTATTTAAAAAGGAAATAAATATACTAATAGAATAGTCAGATCAATATTAAATAAGTATATTTAAAAGAAAAAACATAAAAAGACAAGGCCATCGACTTTGTCATCGACCTCTGACAGCTGAAATACACATCCAGTGCTCTCCAACTGGCTTTGAGGCATGGTCGCTCCTTCAACACTCACCCGACCATGATGGTGAGGCAGAGGGTGATGGGCACAGTGATGGACTGCGGGTCGTCGTCCAGCGAGCTGCCATCCGAGCCAGACGCGTCGTCGTCCTCTTCGCCGTCCAACGCGGCGTCCGGGTCCGCCACCGCCAGCGGGCCCGCCGGGCCCTACAACGCACACGCGCAATTCCCACTCGCCGCTGTTTCCGTTATCATGTCATTATGCTGTATACTCGGGAGGCGCCGCGTCCTAGACACATGTGCCAACGTTTCGGCCGCCATTCTGCAACCTTCGTCCGGGCGAAAAGTGAGGGAGGTCGCGAGGAAAGGAAAGTCGCAGAATGGTGGCCGAAACATTGACACTTGCGACTAAGACATGTTGGGGGAAGGCTACGCTCTCATACCATTATGGTACGTGATTCCGTGCAGTGCTGAGATTCGCAATAGGTACGCGAAGCAGAAAGCTTTAGCTTGAAGTTATGAATATGAATTTAATTATTTTTGTGCCTGTTTCCTAAGATTACGTATCATATTAGAATGTCATGATTATTTACATCTCAGTACATTTACCCTCACGTTCATACTTCCACTAGTGATCTCCAGCAAAAATGCTGAACAAACCCAAACAAAATGGTTTTCCAAGAAGTAGCATGCGCACAGCTTAAGAACAAATAAAATTATCTCGTATAACACAGCAGTACATTAAATATTTTAATAAAACCTGTCTTCATGAATACTGTAATAACATAGTACAGTATATTTATCCAGTCCAATATTTTTTTTACAAACCGAGATCATAAAAAAGCTGCTGATCCATAAAGCGACACGTAAATGAAAAATATTTAATTGCATGCGGTCTCTTTCTTAAAGACTCGCTGTCGCATGACGACAGGTACGTTGTAAGCAGTGACGTACTTATGGTGAAAATCGGTGTGCGTTCATACAAATATGCAATATGAGAATTGATGGAATAACAAAATCAAATGTTTGCATTTTCCTATCCAAATCGCAATTATTTACTGATTTTGTATTTTCCCTAAGTTTCTGGGAATCTAACAAAACCATTGGTACCTCCCACATAACTGGAACCTGAGTTCTTTTCTTTCAGTTTCCGCGTGCACATTTGAAATTAATAATATAATATTCGTTCTACCGTGGAGCGTAAAGTTACACCACCTCTGAAGTGGAAGAAGGAGGGAAGCGTGCTTAAGGAGGCCTTATGAATATTGGGGACTAAGTAATCCCGTCATCTTTTCTCGCGAAACTTACTTTGGAATTTCGTGTAAATTGGGGACCAAATAAAACCCGTAAATAAAAGAAATGATTGACATGGTACGAGGTATGCGCGTTAAGGGGGACGCCGCTGCCACACTGCTATCTATTTTTTCTTGTGCCTTATCGAAAATCTTCCAGACTTTCTCCTATATCAAACTGAAAAGCAAAGAAAGTGCTATAAGAGTGTCTGAATTGCATATTCAGACACTCTCATAGAATAGTACAGTTGAGAAAAAGCAAGAATATAAAAATGGCAAGATAAACAAAATTCATTTAATCAGCGAATTATTCAATTGAATGAAAACCAAATTTGACTAAACGATATTTCGAAAGATATATACCAGACTTAATTCTAAAAAATTGTAGAGGTAGTTGTGCTTTACAACAAATGGCTATGAAAATGTTCTTCGAAAATAAAATTCCCCTCTCACTTTTGCCTGAAAGGGAATGAGGTAGACGGTCCCCAATTTACATATGCCCTATTCTGGGCCGGATCCCATTTTACATATGGGTTAAACTTTAATTGTCCTTCTGGTCCCCAATTTGCATACGCCGTTAAAAGTGTACCTGCCAGGACCGCGCCATGCCCTTCTCTGGTTCCATCCCCAATTTACATTTGGGTTAAACTTTAATTTTCCTTCTGGTCCCCAATTTACATACACCGCTTAGAGGTGTACCTGTCACGCCAACGCCATGACCTTTTCTGGATCGGTCCCCAATTTATATATTATGAGTTAAACTATAATTATCTTTCTGGTCCCCAATTCAAATCTGAATTAAATTCTAATTTTTCGCCTGGTCCCCAATTTGCATATTATGAGTTAAACTATAATTATCCTCATGGTCCCCAATTTACGTATCCTCTTCTCCGGGCCGGTCCCTAATTCACATATGAATTCAACTCTACTTTTCCGCCTGGTCCCCAATTCGCATAGTCCGCTTCGGGGCGTACCTGCCAGGCGCGCGCGTTGGGGGCGGCGGGCGCGGGCGCCGGCCCGAGGGCGGCCAGCTCCAGCTCCACCTCGCCGCGCCGCCGCGCCTGCAGCTGGTGCAGCTCCTGCTGGCGCTGCAGGCGCCGCAGCTCGCGCCGTCGCCGGTCGCACGCGCAGCCCCTGCACTTGCAGCAGCGCGCGAAGATCCACTTGAAGCTCTTGGCCAGGATGTCGCCGATGTTGGACAGGTAGAGCAGGAACAGCGGCATGCCGATGATGGCGTACAGGATCGTCGTCATCTTGCCCCACTCGGTCTTCGGCGCCACGTTGCCGTAGCCTGGCGGCAAGTTGAAGGCATCCGTTTTATGAAGGTCAACGTTTAGAAAGATTTCTTAATAAAAGTTTAAGAATTCTGTTTCTAGCATTCTTGTACTTAACAAAATAAAAAAATTAAACTCATGAGGTTTTATCTAATTATTATACAATGGCACTTTAATAACCGTAAAAATAGGAATATAACTTTTATAGATCTCCTGAAGATGAGCGAACTCACACGCTCGAAACGTCGAGAATAATGAAAATCTAAAACTCAACACACATGTATTAATGTTAATTTTTATAAACATTGCCTTTCAAAAAATAAATTATTGTACAAAATATACCATATTTCTAACGAAAAGAAGATATTGATTTACTACATTCAATTGTAAACAAGAAGATGAAGCGTCATTTTAAGAAGTGATACAATTTTTGAATTTAAGAAAAAAAAATCCCTCTGTAACAACATGTATTATACTCAGTCTCCTCCACATTTACTGATTTCCCATGAAGTAAATTTATCCGTAACTTAAGAGATTTGAAGTATCTTCTGTAAAAATATAATTGTAACTCTTCAGAAAGCAGCAGTGCCACGAATCATGTTTTATTAGCAGATTTGGAAAGATTGGGTTGGAGATTGTCTTTGTAAAATTTGATTATGTTTGTTTATATTTTTATATGGTCGGATATTTAGTTCTTTGCTTGGTGTATTACCATACAGCATACAATGTTGCATCTGTGTTCAAGATGTCAAGTTATAATTTGTAAATACTTTTCAAGCTAATGAAGTTCGAAAACGGACAAAATCATTCTATCAAGAAAAGTGTTCTCAAAATCACAGTATACTCTTAGTAAAATACTTGTATTTGCATGTAAACAATATAAATAATGCAGCATTACTATTAACAATATCAGTGTACTTATGACAATTAATGTAGGAGCAATAAGAATTTCTTCCAAGTGCAGAATCGTGTATTATATTTAATACCGCATCAATGTCTTTCATGAAATATATATAAATGGATTTTCTGATATAAGGCGCGATATTGGCCAAGTAAATAATTATTCAATAATTATATCGAAACATAAATAGAGAACCCCATTGTACTACGGTTCTTTTCAATTTTAAATATTTTTATCAATAAACGGTAAGATCGTATTAGAATGTTACAAGAAATAATATATACATAACAGACAAAAACAAAACGTTTTGCCTCTTCACCGCATTATGTTATAATTCTAGTAAGTTCTTATTAACGATTTATTCATTTAGAGAAACCGTGGAAAACTAATATAATTTATTTATTGAATACAACGGATATGAAGATCACGTATAAACGTATCTACAGTACACATAGGTACATTCTATAGCTTTGAAAATGCTGAAGAACGACCTGAAGCGCTAAAGAACAAATGAGAAAGAAAACCATTTTCAATGGGCATTTTCTAATAATTAGCAAAGTTGTAAGTAGAGAAATTTCTATATCAAACACGATATCAAGAACAAAACAAACACAAAACATTTTAATTTAAAAAATTCAATTTTCACATGCTGTATTTATGCATTATGTTATAATTCAACATCAGAAAAATAAAATGTACATTAAATGTAAATAAACTGGTAGACGCGTTTTAATGAAATGTGTTTTGCGCAACTTCCCACAACTTATCTTTCATCCCCTTTCCTCGGGCCTCAACCGCTGAACAGACACAAAGGGCGCATTTGTACCCAGCCGGGGAGACAGATTCGTCAAGAGGAAACACCGGGGCGGGAGCAGCGGCAGCCCGAGAAAGAACGAAGAGGCGGCTCCCGCGCTCAGCACTGCGCGCGCAGCCCCCGCCGCACCAAGTGACGTATAAATTCAATGGGCCCAGAGAAGCCGCGCGTATGAAATAACACCGCGGTGTCAAATAAAGGAAGTCTCCCTCTGCCGCGTGGCCCCTTGAGCAACCCGCTCACTCGCACCAGAATCCCTCGTTCGGTGCCTTGCCACCCTTCCTTGTGCAAGTCTGGTTTCTTCTCTTTGCCTTTTCCGTTCTTTACCTTTTGTCTTCTTCGTCACCCATGCTCCACACAACCAGCAGAACTCTGGACACAACCTGTTCTTCCCATTAGACCAAATTTAATGTTCAATCCAATCACTCTTATTCCTTGTATTTTTAGTCATTTGTCCCCCTCTTTCGTACTAATTACTAATATTTCTCTTCCCAAATATCTTTATTTTACTCTAGCTTGCCATATAAATCCTCCATTAACAATCCATGCTACATAGTCTGGTACACTTGCTCCTTCCTCACAACTAAAGAAACCGCGATGGTAGAACCAGCAGACATTGTACCACAGTCTACGATACGGAAGTAGTGGCGGCAACAACGGAGATAGCTGTATAGTCAGCGTCTGGGATTCCCCAAACTCGAAACAAATAGCGCGTTTTATCAAATCTGCCTCGCACTTTTCGCGCCTTCCTCCGTTCTCCTTCGCGTCTCCCCCCCACCCCCACTTCTGTATATCTTTTAAAGGGTTGACGTGGTAAATGCCTACGTTTCCCGCCAATTGTACGGACGCTCCGAGGATAAATCTCCCTAACGTCTTGGCCAAATTTAGAAGGCTATTACTCTGAGAAACACGGGGCGCGCGCCAGTAGCCGTAATTTATATGCGAGCGGGCGACAGGGCGGCGGCGACGGCGGAGGCGGTGGAGGCGGCGACGGAGGCGGCGGCGGTGTCGGAGTCTGGGGTCCACGGAGAGCGCGCGAGGAAAAAAGAAAAAAAGAAAAGAAAATGTGAGAGCGGCGCCACAACATAGCAACGGCGCCACTGTCACCTCCTTCGTCGCGGCCCCTGCAGCTGTACGTTGGCCAAAACTAGACTGCTAGTGGGGCTTCTTTATTTTAACCCACTACATTACGTAATACTGCTGAACATTAACTTTGTGAGACACTTCCTGACTGAAAGTTTTCTTCCCTCATTTCCTTTATGTTTTTGTCGCAATATGTGGGGTAGAGTATTCCAGAAAATACTGAGAGAAATCGTAGAGGCTGAAACGTAATGAGATCAAAACAGAAAGTAAGCAAATTTACAAGTGAGCAAATTAGAAAGTTAGTTATTGTTTTTCAAGTAACTTCACTAAATATGGATGTACATTTAAGCTCTCTACTATTTTTACCTGGCACAAAAGCATGGCAAAGGCAAACAGTAAAATATCCACATGCTGTGAAAGTCTTTCTCAAAGATGATATATAAAAACAGAAAAGAAAGATGAAAATCTGGAAAATGAAATAAGAAACAATAGAATTATAAAACTAGTCATTTTATAACACGCTCTGTCAGTTTACTTGTATAATATTGTTCTTTGGTAAACAATTTAAATCACTTAAATATTAAATACCTTGTGCGAATTTATTCATTAATTAACTTAATAATATTTGCTGCACACCACATGTATGAGAAATATTTGCATCAAGTGGATATTTTGGACTATATTAGCTCGTTGGAGATTTCGTACATATGGACATCTGTAGCTGAAATTATGAATTTGGAGTATACTCTACTCTTTACTCTTACATTGTGTTGAAAAACGTATGTAAGGGCTTGTTTACTATACATTGTCCGAATTTTCTCAATTAAAAACTTCTTTGTGATTAAAATTTATTCAAGTATACTTTTTGACCCCACTGAAATTTATGATTATATTAGCTTAGATTTGAGAAAAAAAGAAGAAAAAACTTAAATATTTTTTTTCAGTTTATAAACTGTATTATTGAAAGAAAAAGCTCATAAGCAAAATTTAATACAATAAATAGTCTGAAAGTGCAATTTCCCAACACTAAAACATATACACATCGAATCATAGTAACTTGTTCCTGCACTGGGAAATAGCAACTTCCATTCGATGGTGTTTTCATTAACGTCATCAAATTATTCTCCAAATACCTTGCTCTTTTCGTAACTTAACCTAGCCAATGACGTCATCCAATAGTTTTTTTATTTCATTCATATGCAAGTCAAATGTTGTGGAAATGACTAACCAAAACAAATAGTCGAAGGCGTAATATTCTTTAATTTATTTATGATATTCATTAAGAATCATGGTTCTTTGAAATATATAATCTTATAGAATCATGCCTTTCCTCACAATATAAAACTTCACATCTATACCTACTTTTACAAATGTCTGAATGAAAATTCCACAGCATTATAACACATGCATTAATACGAGTATATGAAAAACACAAAACATTATATCCAGTGATTAATATAAATTACTTTGAGTAATTTAGAGTAAGCTATTTATAACAGTACCAAAATTATTCAAAGAACAATACGCAATGAAAGCAATTGAAAAACAATTGTTCTAGAATGTATTATGTATGGTAATTTTTAAGTCTCAATAATACCTTCTGGAAGAATAGTTTTTCCCTGAGAAAAAAGTTCAATGATATACAATTGAGTGAAGAAATTGATTGTAAGCATTTAAGAATAATTCTTGACATAAAATTGGATCGTACTGATTTCTTCTTGTGAGAAAGCTAATTATCAAAATTGTATCTCTTTGTTACATAAATCTTATAATAAAAATTGAAACCGACTTAAATTTGTTTTTTATTTTAAAATTTCCAACACAAATCTTTGTTGTTTCTTTTATCCAGAAAGTATTTCACTACTCTGAGAACCATCTTGAGATATTATCTTACTATCTACTTACATACTACTATGACATTTGCTCTTACAGCATTTGATTCTGAAGAAATTTAAACCATCATTAAAATCATCTAGCTTTGATATTACTGGAGAACAGTGAAGGTGTATACCGAATAAAGAAATACCAACTTTTAAATTTAAGTAAGATTTAAAGTTGAAATCTAAAAAAGAACAAGAACCTAACGCTTTTGTATCTTAAAATTAATCGAACTATTTACCGAATGTTGTAATCATCAGCTATTGAAAATACGTACAATGTGTCAATAAAATCTACTAATTTATGTCTCGCGTACTACATCTTTTATTACAGCTCATTGCATTCAATGACGTCATAATTTTAAACTCGTCGTTTACTAAATATATGCTTTGTAAAATATGAAGTATTTATGCTTAAAAAAATATTTTAAAATTTATATTCTGAAATTGCAACGTTATTATTTCAGATACCCTAAAGGAAATGTAGAAACTAGGAAGACATTTTGTTGTGATGAGCAACTAAAAAGAAGGAATGCGCGGCATACGGAAACTCTCCCTCTTCCAAGGGTTATTTTTGAAAAATTACTCAATTTTATAACTTTATTTGAATATCTAAAGTCGAAATATATAGTGCATTGAGGAATAAATAACTGGCCGCAATATTTGAGTTCAGTTCGAAAAATGTGAACTTTTGCAACATACTTCAACCCAAATGGTTTTCAATGTTCTCAAGGCAGAAACACCTCCACGATTCCTTCACGAAGAGAGATAATAGTCAAAATCTATAGCCGATTTTCCTTTGAAATGATTTTTATTACACTGAAGAGAATTTTTCTTATCAATTTTTGCCAAAAATGATCATTTGATCTGTCTTCAGAATTCGACTTGTGTATGGATTAGGGTAGGGACCCGAGAATTTCAGAAAGAGTGCTCAGAAAGCATTTCTCCCTAAAGTGTGCTACTCCGTTTTTAATTGTTTTAAAATAAATAAATAAATAAATAAATAAATAAATAAATAAATAAATAAATAAATAAATAAATAAATAAAGCAAGTAAGGTAATAAACCCCGACGTGAGTTCGCAATTACATCTCACACGAATCTTACGACCGAAAATTCGAGTGTGTAAAGTGGAGGCAATTCCAAGTGAAACTTACTTTAGCGGTGTGCTATTATTGCATTCCGTAAGCAAATTGCCCGGCAAAAACGCGACATTAACCCACTGCGCAGGGGATGGCGCGTCTGCAGTCCCCGGAGGAATTCCCGCGTTACTGCTCGGATAACGCCATCCGCCGCGCGAGCAACTGCAGCTCGGGGCAAGTGCAGCGCAGCGCCCCTATCTCCCGCCCGCGCAGGTATCTTCAAAGTTCACTGCCGACATACGAGTCGGGAAGACGTAGTTCCCCTTAATGTCATATTCTTACGTGGCGCCGGAGCCTAAGTGTGTTCTTAGGAACTGCAAGCACCGCCCGCGGAAGGCTTCCTCGGAAGGAGGACGAGGAGAGAAAAAATTAAATGGGAAGAGCAGCTTATCACAGGCGTTTACGGCCCCGTTCTTGATCACGCATGGGTTCCATTTTGTTTCTAAATGATGCCTGGCTTCTGAAACAAAACTTTAAATGAATGGTGATGGGAGTAATAACTTACATGACGAACTTTCACCCACGTGAATCTTCAAAGTTGATATGCGCGGTTACTTTCAACGAAGTTAGTAGTTATTACTTTTTTCTATGTTCCATGTAAATACATGTGTATTGCATAAATTATTTAGATTGTTCAGAACAAAACATTGATACTTGTAAACAGTCATACTGGGAATAATGACTTGTTGAGAACAGGATTACATTGGTTTGCCTTCATTTGCCATTTAACTGTACGTAACTAATACGAAAGAAACAAAAATAAGTCGTGATAAATAAGATAACATAACATTTTCATTCCTGCACGTAAAATAATAAATTCTGAATCTGCGACAGTTTCTTAATTTTTCCCTGTTGATGTTTAGTTAAATATCTAGAGTATACTATCGAAAAATTTTTAAAACATTGGTATTACTTTTAAAACGGTCTCCATGGAAATCTGACACTTCGAACGTTAAAGATTTAAATCTTAAAAATATATTTTACGGCCTTTGTCCTTCACGAGTTTGGTTCTCTAAATTAACAACCTTTTTACTCATCGAATCCTATACAGTGATTTTTTTAAAAATATTTAGTGTATTAAATTACTGAATTAAAAAACAAATTGTGTACAGAAATGGTCCCCGTGTGTTTCACTTACATAAAGTACAAAACAATCCTATTAAGCTATTTCAATTTAACAATGAAGCTTCTTTCTTAGAGTATTCATTGTGATGCTCATAAATATTAGAGGGAATTTGAAATGCAAAAC